TACTAGTATTATTAGTACAATGCGTGCGAAAACTCAGATCACTGTCTTAATAGAAACCTAAAAATTTCACACCACATTTTTCTAACGCAATATCGATTCGTAGCTGTAAGGTGGGGGAGGGTTGCTCCCGTTGTGCATCCTCCAAGGGCATATGGAACATGTCTCTCGACTTGTCAAAACCTGCTCCTTATCGCTGGGGGTGTCTAGGGATAACCAGCTTCTCAGGTAAAGTCCTGCAGGTTAATAACGTCCCCGAGAGGAGTCTGTAGATGCCATATTTTCGAGAAATTGCCATTTGGTGGGCTTCTACTACCCTAAACGTAAATACCCGATTAAGCCATTCTATCCGCCCACTCCACAGAACGATTGGTATTTTGAGCTGTATGGAAAGAAACTGCTTTCGTTTTAGAAGCATTTAGGTACAAGCAATTGTTGTAAAACTAATTTTATAAATTAGTAAAATCGATTAGAATCGATTTTCTGCTGCAATTTAATTCAATCTTTTGATCTAAATAAGAGAGAAAAGTCATCAGCATATAAACAAGTAAACGATTCAGGCCAAACAGACGGTAATTCACTTTTTTATATTTTTTTTGTCGCTTCCACTTAATGGTTATTAGCGACTAGACAAGTAGATAATATGATGAAGATATTGCAATATTGCATTACAGTAACAAATGATGGAATTTAAGTACAAACTGTTTATAAATTTAAAAATAAGTTAATGCATTCTAGATATTCAAATTGAGAATATGTGGGACATGTTTCACTTTAGAAAAATGATTTATGTTTATACATTTCAGACAGATTCTTATTCTTTTGTCAAAAGGTTTTTCGGAAAAATGGTTTTGGTATACAGAGTGTTTCAAAAAAAGGTGGCAAAATAAGTTTGTTCAGTAAAAAAGTTTTCGTTAACGGCATCCGTTTTCAAGATACAGGGCATAAAATTCGTGTGTAATTCGAGCAGAAAGTCTTTTGGCAGTTTCTGCTCTTAATACACAAATAGCTATTGTTCAATAGAATATTATAATAGATATATAATAGAAAGTCAAACAGACATCACAAAAGATAGAGGTCGGGTTCTCGCCCGATTTTACAGATTCCAAAAGATTTAACTTAAATGAAACCATTACGGAAGCCGGATTAGTTTACATTCACATTCTCGCAACAGTTAAGCAGTGATCTCTCCAGTTACATCGCAGATGCGTGACCGATAGGACGTTCCACCATGGGGCTTAGCCGCATTTAACCATCGACAACGTAGAATGAAAGACGCTGAATGAGGGAGTGAATTTGGAAATGGGAAAGTAGTAGGGCCGTCAAATGGTCGTACAATAAGCCGAAGGCTGCAGTGCTGCCACGCTACAGACGGATTAAAATGATAGCTCCTGGGGTACGAAGGGTGTAAAAAACACATTATCGAAGTTGGGGAACGTTTAGCTCGAACACCATAGATTTCAAGAATTTGTTTAAATATTTTAACATTGTGTGTTTTGTAACACTTTTTATTGTATTGAGGATTTGGTAATAGGCTGGCAATTCTCAAAATTATATACAATATCCTTTTTAAAAATGGAATGTTTCAATTGTAATGAAAACCTTCCATCCTTAAAGGATATAATATAATAATAATAATAATGTTTATTTACTGAAATATACATTTAAAAATACATTCATAAAAACGACAAGAAATAAATAAACATACACATTCACAGAAGCAGTACTTACATTGTGTACCGCTTGTACGTGATAATTTATAATAATAATTTTTTTTTGTGTTGACAAATTTAAGTTTTTTTTTTTTAAACAATAATGTAAAATTAAATAAATTGTTACATATTATTAGGTAGGTATATTATAGGCTAAAAACGTCAAAATCGGGTGATGTCAAATCCGGGATTTTTTTTGTCAATGTCCATTATAATGCGAGAAAGTCACAAGAGGGTATTAGTCATATTCGGTTCGATGTCTTATTTTGGGTAAGTATAGTTATTTATATATTTATATCTATTGTAAAATTTAAATAATTAATTTAATAAAGTATAAAACAATTTTCTGGGTGTGTTTAATAACCATTTTTTTAACATAGATTTAAATAAATTGTGTTCTTTAATTATTTTTATATTTTCAGGAATTAAAGTATATAATTTTGGACCTATAAAGCTACAATGTCTTTGTCCAATGGTTTTACTGCAGCGTGGGATAGAGAAAGTGAGTTGTCTTGTGTTGTAGGTATGTTCTATTTGTATTAATTTTATGTTACCCTTGTGAATATTTGTTAAGAGAGTTAAACAATATATTTGCCTTATATCTAGAACTCCTGCATCCAGAAACAGACGATCACTTGAGTATGAACGCTCTTTATTATACATAAGTTTTAGTATCCATTTTTGTACAACATTTAACTTTTCTAGATAAGAATCACTGACCCCACCCCAAGCTATGATGCCATATGATAGTTGCGATTGCACTAATCCGTAATAGATGATTTTTAATTGAGTAACGTTTAAATATTGTCTTAGGTATTTAAATCTAGATATAAATCCTCTCAATTTATTGACTAGGTTGCAGATATGTAGGTCCCATCTTAGATGTCGATCGATGACAATACCTAAATATTTAATAGACGAAGCTTCTGGAATCTTAATTTTATCGGATACTGTTGGAAGTCCATTTGAATAAGAGGCGAATGGTAAGTACTTGGTTTTTTCGTAGTTTAAAGTTAGTTTGTTATAATTAAACCAGTTAATAATATTTTGAAAATCTTTTTCAGCATTTTTTTTCAAGTCATTCCAGTTATGGTCTTGGTACAATATCACAGTATCATCTGCAAAACTCAATATTTTACCCACTGACGGTTGTATCATAAGATTATTTATGTAAATAGTAAAAAGTATTGATCCTAGCACCGTTCCCTGAGGAACTCCGTATGTAATTATTTTTGGAGAACTTATTGTACCCTCAATATTTACCACCTGCTCCCTACCAGAAAGGTAACTCTCAAATAATGTTAATGCATTGCCACGGATTCCAATTTGATTCAATTTTTCTAGTAATTTCCTGTGACATACCGTGTCAAAGGCTTTGGAGAGATCGACAAAGATACAAAGTGATGGTTTAGATTTATCTAAAGAGGAATATATTTCTGAAGTTAATGCATGTATGGCATCTTGTGTCGATCTCCCCTCCCTAAATCCATACTGGTTATTAGAAAGAACATTAAATTTATTTAGAAATTTTATTATACGCGTTTTGATAGCTTTCTCAAGGATTTTGGCTACATTAGATATTAAAGAGATCGGTCGATAATTTTCAATCTTTTCAACGTCTCCTCGTTTGAATAACGGTTTAATTAACCCGGTTTTGAATATTTTTGGAAAACATCCTGTACAAAACGTACTATTGGTATTGGTTAGATTGACGTAAGGGAGAGGAATGATATATGACAGTTGAGAATATTATAGAAAGGTGTCCCTCTTAAAATAAAAATTGACCTGTATTTGTGTTTCTTTCAAAAAAAATTCTACTTCAAGATATTCTGAGATACGACCGGTCGCCACCCTTAATGAATCACCCTGTACATAATATAAAAATTATATTGAACAATCTAAAATGTATCGTTCTATATCTCGTTCGTACACACAAAAATGAGACACATTTTGCTCAAATTTGGTTATAGATTTACATCAGCAAATAATTTCTTATAACATAAAATATATTTATATTCTGTTACAAGTGCTATTAATTTAATTAAAATATTGCATTTTCTATGTTAAAATCAAATACGTGTAACGCTAAAGTAACGTTTATTAAAATAGTTAATCCTTCATTTCAATGTAGAAAACTAGAATAATAAGTAGAAATACCTACATAACGTAAATAAGTAGTTTTTAAAATTTATCCCATAATAACTGCTATTTGCACCATTTCATACTATATTTCCTTAGTTTATAATGTTTATGCAACATAAATTATGTTTATAATGATATAAATACAAAATACGTCTTAAAAATAAGGATATCTGCATCTACTTACTCCTTATTTTTATTATTTTTCTCAAATACATTCAAACCAATGATATAAATGCGAGTCCGAGCTCTATTGACCGGTTCGAATAGACAATTTTCTTGTTTTTATATCACGTGCATCTCGTAAACACGCATTTAAAAGTAATTGTATTTAAAAAAAAAGTAATTATACTTATAAATGTAATTGTAATTGGAAAAGTAATTGTAATTATGACAAGTAATTGTATTTAGACAATTTAAATAATATAAATTAATATAATTACAAAGTACAATTCCTCCGCAGATTTTGCTGCAACTACAATTCTAAATTACTTTGAGAGAAAAAAGTGCTTAAATACAATTACAAATTACATGAAAAAAGTAATTGTAATTAATACTTTTTAACTAGGGATTACCCAGCTCTGGTATATATCCATAGATTTTATTCGATCAACTAGATTAATGTATAGTTTTCAACAAAGAACAGTAAGAAGAATACCAAAGATTTTGGACAAAAACAACTAAAAAAACGTAGGTCAAGAAAGTCATGAATACAGAGAATTGGAGAATAAACGACGTGAAATATCATAGACGAGATGAGAGTAGGGTATTAGCCAGAGCTCAAAAAACTAACAAATTAATAATTAAAAACTAAGAAATGTTATTCTATGTTATAACAATGTTACATTAAAATGGATCAGAAGCAGCAGTTGTAAATCTTCTCGTTTTTATAATACTTGTAACAATTATAATACTTGGTTTCATACTTTTAAATTCTTCGGATGGTATAAATATTTCATGCGTTAAAATTTCTGATTAAGGATGTTAACACAGATTACACGAACGTTCTATTTGATCATCCAAAGTGTAAATCGGGTTCGTTACGTTATCCTGATCAACTGCCCTTCCTGATTGAATTTGGTCCTCCCAGTAGCTTACACCCAGCCTACTATATACACCATTCTGGCGGAGCGGTAACGTAACTCGTAACATCTTCTTCTGCGATCATTCATCGCGTGCGCCTACTACGATACACAACGCGGAAGACTTCTTGTGTTTGGCATTTCTTTGCTGTGGCGCGAAATCGGCGAATTTTGGATTTTGTAAAATTTTCGAAAATATCGCGATTTCGGTGGAAGCGCATGGGATTTAATCGCTTTTTGTGTGATTTTTTGTTGAATTGCGAAGGATATTGATGAGTTTGGAGAAAATTTGGTGAAAATGAATTTTGAAGAAATATTCAGGGGGTGGATGCTGCCTATTATTTTTTTGGTGAGTTACAATTTATTATACGGTGTTTATTTTTTTTTTATGGGTATGTGCCTTTTTAGAAGTGGTGTAGATGAATCTTTAATTAAATTGAACAAGGGCAAATATCCCTTCAAATTTTGGCGAAGGCGCAATATTTATTATTTAAAATATGTAATCGAAGTCAGCATTTTTTATTATTAATAATTTTAATGGAAAAGTTATTATTATTAATTTAAAATTAATATAGAATTTATTTAAGGGATCAAAATATTTGTTTTTATTTAACATATGAAGAGAGGGGGATGGATGGCTCAGTGGTTAGAGTCTGGACTTCCGGATCCAAGGGTCCGGATTTAGAATCCCACCGGGAGCTGGAATTTGTTATTCAAATAATTAAAAATTACATTGTTGGTTTCTAAATAACAGTGCTGTTCCTAAAGTGGCATTGGAAAACAGTGACAAAGCCTACACAGAACACAATCATGTTATTAAAGAAAAAAAAAACTGAAACAGGATAATAAAAAAACATTTAAAGTGAAAAAATTAATAAAAAATTTGGTATAATGCATTATAAATTAGTGTAGAGCAATTTCTTAAATATTTTTTTTTATTATTTCTGATATTCATAAAAATTTTTTGAATATTGATTTTTGACGAATTTCTATTTTGATTTTCTAGTAAAATGACTGGAACATATTTGCTACTATTAAAATAATATTAAGTACCTACTCATAATGCTTTCTCAGGTCATAGATATTTTTTTATATAACAAAAATTTTAGAATAGCCTAATTTTCTCGGAACCAGATTTTCCAAAATCTACAAAATTAGGTATTTGGGGGTGTAAGAACATGCTACGTTCTATTTTTTTATTTCTACTTTTGCCAGATTCACAATTTTTTCGCTAATATTGATTACTTTGATTGTTAAATGCAGCACCCTGTATATTGAGAAAAATAAATTTCATATGCATTTATCTCATCGAAGATGGCCACATTTGAGAGGTTGGATTCTCTTCTGAGTTTACCATGTATATATTGTTTCATTTTTAATTCTAGTCTTTAATCCCAATTCAACGATATGTCATACTTATGATTTGCATTTAAAAGTCCAAAGTGACCAATATTATCGGTCAATCCGGCAAAGATGCATATAATAAAACAGTAATTGGCATGTCCCTAAAATTAAATAATTTTATTCGTCGCAGTCATTTTGTTTTTTTTTGCTTTCTCTTAACCCTAGAACGGTATCGTTAAATTTCTACCGCTTGTTGGTATCGACACGTAAAAGTTACGCATTCGCAAATTTTTACATGTATACTTTGTAAAATTATCTGTTTCATTAGTTTTTATTTTATTTTAACATAACATATTGTTTTTAACATATTTTAATAACAGAAATTTTAAAATGAAAAAATTACAGTAACTGAATTTAAAAATAAAGAGAACTTTGAAAGAGTAAAACCAAATTTGGTAGATTTTCACACTTTTATTTTAAAAATAAAAATTTTTAAACAAACACTAACATGACATATGTTTCGAAGTACAACTTCTTTTTCAAATGTGACTATTTACAATTCGGTATCCAATATATATACAAAATAATTTAACAAAACAAAGTACTTAAGAAAACATCAATAACATTACAAAATAAACTAACTATTTAAAGTAAATAAGGGTACTTAGGTAATTATAATATCCATCAAATAACAATAAGATATCCCATTACCGGGATTATCTCACAGAAAACTGGGAAAGAGGTTTAATAAGGGTGAATTATTAATATCTAATTGATCATTTAGTAAGTTATCTGAATTTTTAAATCTATTTATTTCAAGTGTTTCTAAATGGTTTAATTTAAGGCTCTTATTTTCTACATGTAAAATTTCAAAGTTGTCTGTAAAAGAATGATTTTCAGCTAAAATATGATTTGAGTAAGTAGAATTATTTTTGTTTTTTGTATAGCTATTATAATGTTCGGAATAGCGTTTTTTGAAAGTACGGCCTGTTTGACCAATATACAATTTTGGACAACTACCACAATTTAATTTATATACCCCCGATTTATTATTAGGATTAATTTTACCCTTATTGTTTTTAATATACTTCCCAAGCGTATTATTGGTTTTAAAAGCTACGTTAATATTTTGGTTTTTTAAATATGATGATACCTTTTCACTAGGAGCTCCTATATATGTAAGACTCTTATATCTGCAATTTGGATCTTTAATTATGGGATAAACTTGTTGAATAGCCTGTTTAAAAAGTTTTTTCTCTAAAATGTTGTCTACTAACTTTGAATTAAAATTATTATTTACTGCGATTTGTTTAATGATATTTAATTCTTTTGTGAAGTTCTCTTTGGTAAGGGGAATATTAACTAATCTATGGATCATACTGTTGTATGCTGCCAGCTTTTGTTTGTATGGATGAGATGAACTATTATTTATTGTAATATCCGTATGTGATGGCTTATGAAATATCCCAAAACTATGGCCTTTATTATTTTTAATAATATTTAAGTCTAAAAAATTAATTGAATTATCCTTCTCTGTTTCCATAGTAAATTTAATATTAGGGTGTATAGTATTGATAAAAACTAATAAAGAATTTAACTGTCTACTAGTACCAGTAAAAGCAGTCAATATATCATCAACATATCTATGCCAATACAGACAAAGTTTACTTAAATTATTGCTATGAATTTTATTTTCTATATTATCCATAAATATTTCTGCAAGCAACGGGCTTAATGGGTTCCCCATAATAAGACCTTCATTTGCTGAGTAGATGTTATTTTGAAATTGAAAATAATTTTGTTTTAGGCAAATGTTTAACAAATTTAGGATTTCTTCTTTGATTATAATATTGACTTGATTACGATCTAATAAGTTTTCTAATAAGGTATCATCATATTTAAAAAACCAAAATATTAACGTAGCTTTTAAAACCAATAATACGCTTGGGAAGTATATTAAAAACAATAAGGGTAAAATTAATCCTAATAATAAATCGGGGGTATATAAATTAAATTGTGGTAGTTGTCCAAAATTGTATATTGGTCAAACAGGCCGTACTTTCAAAAAACGCTATTCCGAACATTATAATAGCTATACAAAAAACAAAAATAATTCTACTTACTCAAATCATATTTTAGCTGAAAATCATTCTTTTACAGACAACTTTGAAATTTTACATGTAGAAAATAAGAGCCTTAAATTAAACCATTTAGAAACACTTGAAATAAATAGATTTAAAAATTCAGATAACTTACTAAATGATCAATTAGATATTAATAATTCACCCTTATTAAACCTCTTTCCCAGTTTTCTGTGAGATAATCCCGGTAATGGGCTATCTTATTGTTATTTGATGGATATTATAATTACCTAAGTACCCTTATTTACTTTAAATAGTTAGTTTATTTTGTAATGTTATTGATGTTTTCTTAAGTACTTTGTTTTGTTAAATTATTTTGTATATATATTGGATACCGAATTGTAAATAGTCACATTTGAAAAAGAAGTTGTACTTCGAAACATATGTCATGTTAGTGTTTGTTTAAAAAAATTTTTATTTTTAAAATAAAAGTGTGAAAATCTACCAAATTTGGTTTTACTCTTTCAAAATTAAATGGATTTTCATCAAGTAAAGGCCGAAACAATAAATAATAAAGAGAACATTTTTTTCATTTGATTTTTTTGAAACACGTGCATATTTTTATTTGGTATTCCCCATATACTGTTTTGGTACATTTTACGCAGTACGTAGTTGCCATTCTTTCCTTTTATGTAGGACAAAGGTGGCAATATTTCTCTGATCTGATCTGATATAAAGGTTTCTTTAACATCTACTGCACTTACTGTACTTAGGTATCCTATTTGTTGACTTTTTGATTGCCATGGTTTATTAAGACTTTTGTGAAGTACTCAGAACGTGTTAAAGTTTTACCACCTAATGCTTCAACATTGTGTGACTAAATTATGTATGAATTGATGCAAGCCATGTTTATCACATTGTAAAAGAAACAAAGAGCCATTAGCACGACAGTCGTTAAGAAATAAGGGAAGCCTAAAATTTTAAGCTTGACGACACGTCAGATAAACGTGCAACAAATAACTACTTATTGGTATCAATGCGTATTTTTTACGTGTATACTTTTCAAAATCAAGCCACATCTTCTTTTGCTAAATAGTTGCATCTTTGGCACCTACAAATCATCACAAGTGGATCTTTCCTGAGGCATAGCTAAAATCTCAAAATGGTGACTCAAAAGAATTAGTGGAGAGGGTCCTTTCGCTACAAACCTCACGTAAATTTTACGTACGATACCGCTCTAGGGTTAAAAAAGACAATATAATAAATTCCAGGATTTTCTCGAGCAGGATTTTTTCCCTATTACCCCCTTTGTATCCACACCTATGGTAATACCATAAACATTTAAGTTTTAAAAAAATAATTATTGATATGGTAATGGTATGTTTCCCTTTCAAGAGGAACGTACGCTACAGCAGGATAACAGCATTTAATTGTTGAAAATAATAATCGAATGCAAATTTTATTCAGTTTTATTTTATGAATAATTCAAACAAGCGAAGAATCGATACTTGTTAAATGTCTCTTTGTAAATTTGTAATTTTAGATAGGTTTATGTATTTTGCTTGGCTGATACAGAAGTAATACATTTAAAATTATTCAATTTTTCATATTGGTCGTTCTAAAGTTCAGTAATTTGAACAACTAAATAAAAATAATAATATATTTTATTTATATGACAGGTACTTGTGTTGTCTGTCTGCGGAAATTAAGTTAATTTTAATGAGGCATTTTAAAAATTTGATATTTTGAATTATATTCCTACTATTAAGAAATGTAGTGCATTTTTTTATGTACCTTTTTGGTACTTCCACTACCCATCTTTATCATAGTTTGCTCTCAAGTTTTATTAATTACTTACATTTTTTTCATTCACAAATATTAATTTCTTATAAATCTGAGAAAGGTGTCACTTTCCAGACGATAA